AATATGGTTTTATTTTTTTTTTATTCTCTATGTTGATTACGTTCTAGAATAATCGGACGTGAACATAGTGCACAATTTTGATTGGCATAAAACGCTTTTTGTAAACATTTTTGATGAAATATATGAGAACATGGTGTTATACATGCAACACCAGATGTTAATGTATTATGACATATTGAACATATATCATTATATTCTTCGATTTGTTCAGTTGTTGCTAATGGTAATTGATTAACATTATCCCATGCGGATTTTCGATTACGAAATATTTGCAAACCACGACGTAAATTTTTAATTATATTTAAGTATGCATGTATAGCAAGCATAAATGCACGTAATGCACCACGAGATTCAAAACATAAGATATAAAAACCATTAAATAAAAGAAAAACACCAAGAATAAATTCAAAACATGATGTTATAGCTTTTATCCAAAATATATATTCATCAAATGATTCAACATTTGATAAACGATTATGTGCATCAAGAACATAAAGAGTATATTGAGCAAGTGATGCTAGAAGACGTACAATTAATTCTAAGGAAAATGCTGTTACAGCTAAGAGCCACGTTGAAAATGTTGTTAAACGCCATAGAATAATTATATAAAGAATAACTAAGAATAGAATTGATAGACATGTATAAACATGTCGATGATGATATGAACGTAGAATAGAAGACGAATATAATGACGATAATGATGAACTAAACAAGAAAATTCATTATCGAAAAAAAAAAGTTTGACCATAATGAAATGCATGAGTATGATATGTTCGTTGTTAAATAAAGTTAACAAACTATAAGAGAGGAGTAGCGTGCTCGTACTAAATAAAATACTGTCTGTTCGAACAAATTTTGGACTATGTTGGGAAAAGGCACTTCTAGGAATAAAAAGCTGTTAGTGTTATCCCTCCGGAATAAAAATGTGAAATAGGATGTAGTTGATGTTGCTAATCAGAGCAAGACTATTTTATTCTATCTATTTTGGTATATATGTTTCTTCATCATCCTTTTAATTAATCTTCGAGAAATGCAGTAAGTAGATAATTTCATATATTGTAATGAGATATTATTGTTATGAGGTCTGTGGAGAGTAGATACAAATTTGTATTCGTATGTTTCAACACTTCTCATGGAACGTAGAATTAATTTATGAAGTTTTTTAGTAAAATTCATCTATTGTTCATGATTAAATAAAAAAATTTACTTGTTTCTATTTTCGTCTTTGTTTTCTTCATCTTCGTGTTGATTTTCATCGTTTTGATTAAATACCATTCTTGTTGTCATCGATTGCATTGCTACTTTAAGTAATTGTGGTTCAAGTATTGTATGAAGAAAATGAAATAGAGCAACAATTAATAAACTGAATGCTTTTAATAAAGGTACATGTCGTCGATTAAGATCAAGCCGTGTTATATTTGATTGAAATAATAACAAAAAAAACATAACACCAACAACAGTACCAATCTGTTCAACATCTTCTGTCCAAAGATGAAGAAGACGAAATAAACGATGTGAAATATTTTTCATTAAATATGATATGAGACAAGCTAAGCTAATCAAACTAAAATAAATTAAAGAAAATATTCATGTTAAATTTTTTTCTTTGAAATCAAATGGTTTTATTGAGACTACAGAATACAGAATCTTCTAATCTATATGATGAGCACTATAAAAAAAACAATGTTGGAATTAGGATGTGAAACACAATTGATCTGCATATGTTGTAAATCAATAAATTTCACAAGATATGCTTCAATTAGGTACTTTCAATATACTGATAAATTCATGACGAAAAATATTATTCGTAATGTGTTAAAGTGAGTTTAGAAAGGACGCCAAAGACAAATATCTTACATTCAATCTTCTTTCATAATAATTCTACGAAAGATTATATTTCCGTGATTTATGAGGGAAATCCGCCCAATGAATTTTCAATATTCTGAAAAAAGATTAGATTCTTAGCTGATTGATACATTTTTACGATATTTTTTAAATATATGCCGTGGTCTAGAAAAACTGATTGTCGAATTTCAATTGGAAACTGTGAACAGAGGTGTAATCGGCTGGTATTTTGACGATCGATACCGGTCATCAGTACTGGTGATTGACATCCCCTAGATAATATAGCACGCGCGTAGCGAGTTTTAACTCCAGTGGTAAGTCAAAGTCCAGTATCTTGGCAGTAATAAAATAAGGATCTAAACTCTTTTGTTTGATATTCATAGCTCACATAGTTTCAATTCGAAAGCAATTAATCATTTGGGTGTCTTTCCTTGTTAGTCTGTTATCATGAATAAAGACGTTGCTGGACTACAGTTCAAATTCTTGTTTTCTTTTTTTATAATCATACTTGATTCACATAATGAATATTCTATCATACGTTGCATTTGCATTATGAATTCCTCTCTTCGATTGGAAAAAAGAAAAAAAAACAGAATCATAATTTATTAGAACACCAGATGTCAATGAAGAGCCTACTTGACTGTCACAAGAATGCTAATATTAAAAACTTCGAGTTTTGAAAAAAAAAAGTCTGTATCTTAATTTAATAACTCATAAAATCTAGAGTTTTCATTCTATTTTTATAAACTAAAAATAGTTTATAAAATTATATTAAAATAATAAATTGTTTAATTATCGTTAGATTAGTTAAAATTTCTTACGTAAAAATAGTTTCTGTTCCATAGAATAAACTTGTAAAATAAACTGTTTTTACTAAAGTTTCATTATAATTCATTTGTTTATCATCTAAAGTAATATTATCACTTAAATTTGTCATACTTATATTTAATGTTACATTCGATATATATGGATTTGTATATATAGCTCTTATTCCTAATGGTAAAACAACAATTTTTGTTAACCAAAAAATTTTTAATAATGTATTTATATGTATACGTGTTTGTAAATAATTAATTAATGTTTGTAAACCAAAATTTTCATATAAATGATAAAGATCATGTATAAAACGATTACGTATTACATTTATCATTGATTCTTGATGACAAATAAATAATTCCGAAAGATGAACAAATGTCCATATGATATAATAAAATTTCAAAAGAGATATATTATAATCTGTTGATATTAAATAACGTGTTACTATCAATACAAATGGTGCTAAATGACATAAATATGTTTGAATTTTATATGCACGAACACGTGGACGAATATTGAGCATTTGAATATAAATAGATGATAATAAAAATTGTAGAATATATGTATTTAGTGATGATGAACTTTGAATATCTGTTTTATAACTCATTTGATAATCAAAATAAATTACAAGTAATGATATAGTATAACTGTAGAATATCACAAGACGTCTATCGGAACATAATAACAATAATATCAACAGAAGAAGACCTAATAAAAACGAATATTATAAAATTAGTGTAATAAATAATTTGAGATTTCTTTAGCGACTTATGGAGTCAAAATTTTTGAACTCGATGAGTTCTAATTGTAGTGATCAGTTTAATGAAGAAAAAATTTAAAAAAAGTAGATTGTTCAGTTACTTTGTAGTAAACTAAATGTAAGTAGAATTATCAAAATATTACCGATTGTGAATGATTTAAATTTTATTCAATACAATTCTTTCCTACGAAAAAATTAATATCAAAGTACACACCAATAACTTTTACGTGGTTAACAATACGGTTTAGAGTACAGAGTCAGTGGGTACATTCTCATTGTAACCAAGGACAACATGCATCAGATTCCGTTTCTATAGTTTCTTTAGGGTGTCAAACGGCATTAATTACAAGGTTGAAAGAATTTGAGAATAATCTAAAGCCTTTCTTGAAATACGTTTTTGATTTTACTACAGACAATGATTATATTCAAGACATTAAAATTGATGGCTAGTAATTATTAGGATAATAAAAATTATATTAAATTAAGAAAAATGAATAAGATAGATAGTGTAGAGTTTATATTCACTTGTATAAACTAACGATTCTCACAAGATTTTTTTCATCTATTAGACCTTCTAGAGCTATCATGCTGATCAATTTTCAAAGTGACAAATAAATGATGATGCTACAGTTCAAATACTTAAAAATCTCATATAGTTCTATAAAGTCTAATAGACGAAAATTTCCATAATTCTCTAGCATATCATCATCCTAAATTTCGTTTCGACAGATTTTTATTTCTCTTCGAGTTTGATCTGTACTTTGTAGAATCAAATATCACTTGTGTTTAATGACATACGTACAAGATGTCTCAGTAAACTTTTAAATAGTATTTTTCTCGACTGTTTTTGTCTTTCGATCTCGTTAAAATAATCCTAGACATAAAAATTAAATATCTAATTACTTTACCTAGAATAGGTATTAAAAGAAGTAAATAAATTTGTAATAATATATGAAATAAAGAACTGTGTAATAGGTAACTTATTGGTGCAAGAATTAAATGATCATTTTGATCAATAATTTGAATCGCATGTTTTAATGTATAGTCAATTAATGATGAAAATTTTTCTGTAAATAAATAATCATAAATAAGTATAAATGGAATACGTAATAAACAATATTGTATGTAAATAATAGTTTGTTGTGGTATAAAGCGTTGAAAATGTTCAAAAAATGTTCTACGTCGTGTTGCATCTGTTGTCATTGAATGAAGAAAAAAATCGCCAGCAACATGTTCGTCGTCATTATCCATTCTTTTTTCAGTTTGTTAAAAATAGGAGAAGAAAAACGTTAAGTAAGTTAACTTAACATGGAAACAACAAAAAATAGTCATTGATTGGATAGTTTTAATAAACCAATTGGATACAAAAATAGAGGGAGATAAAGCATTGAAATGTTATGAAAAAATGAGTTTTTTTATTGGAATTTCTATTATTTAGTTTTCAAATAAGCACAGTACATGATATTCATCGATCTATTTTTTTGTTTAATTGAATTAAATTGGAAGAAGACTTTTATTTTTTGATCGACATATTGATTGTTTTACATTGTGGACGAGAAAAACCTTGTGAATATAAAATGAATGTACAAGTAAAGAAAATTCAAATACTTTGTAAGATTCAATAGCATAGGGGGGCCAACGTTTTATATTCTCGTGTGACAATAGATTGTAATATCTTATTGTTATAAAAGAAAAACATGTTTTTCAGCCTTGAATATGCTAATAATAGTTTTTTTTTTGATATGGCAATCGTTCTCAATTGCTCTCTGGTGGCCTGTCCATGTTCAATAGTAACGATTAGCTATTACAGATCCACGAGTCAGTTAAGAAAGCACCTCGCCGCCGCTTCGTCTCGCCTAGGAGTCGATGTAAAGACAGACGTTTTCTTACACGTTTTTTTAGCCTCGTCTAAAAATTACTCTTTCTTTTATTTTATAAGAGCAAACAGCAGTATCTCGAGTGGCGATGGTTCTCAATCTTGAGAAATTTTCATTTTTTTCCAGCGGAATTCCAGAATTTGTTCCGTTTTTGGCTCACCAATCTTCAACAAATTGTTCGAAAGTCTCCAAGTTTAATCAATTTTAGCAAAACTTTTCTTATCGATTTCGTAATTCATAGATCCCCTCCCAGGAGATCAAATAAAGTACCTCGGTATCTGGAAAGTCATTCATCAAGAAAAGAAAAATTCATATTTCCATCACAGTTCTATTGGATGAACTATTTTTTTACAATAATGGTAGAGGACAGTTCGAAGTTTTTATTCAATAGTATGGATTTCTCAAACACACTTACAAAGTAACCCATTCATGTTCAATACACAATTAAAATTCTTTTTCGATTGTGCTAAAGTACAATATGTAGGACTATGTTGAAGTTTTTGTATTTTATCTTATTAATATGCATTTTCTGTCACTCAAGCATATTTCTCTTTCTTGATAAACATAAAAATGGACGATAGTCAAGAAACAGTTCTTTATATTGCTTTGTTTGCATCTTATAAGAGAACTTTTTTGTATATCTGTTTGATTTCTGCGCCGACGTTATATACGTCAGGAGTCTTATCTTTGCGTGAACTAAAGCAATCACTCATAATGTATGTTTTTTCGAGACATTTGCGTCGAAACAAACATTAAGCACCATGTGCTTCGTAAATCATCATTTTATTAAGGCACGCTCTGAAATTGTTCCATAAAAACGAATAAATTTTCTGCATAATTGTCTATTCCTTCTCTTATGNCCCCTTTCCCTTTTTGTTCCCACAGTGAAATATACCACCCCCCCTTCCCCCCCTCTCTGTTTTTTTTCTCTCCCCCCCTCTTTTCCCTCATTTACAGCTCCTCCCTTGTTCCCCCCCCCCCCCCCCCCTCCCCTTCTTTCAGAGCCCGACAGGTCGATTTCGAATCCAGGCTCGAAAATTTTGAACTCGACAGACTTTGGTCTCTTCTCTTAATGTATTTCTCTAAGTTTTCTATGTAACGATCACAAGCAATTTTTTGAGTCACATCTCTTGAATTTCTGTTCTGATTCACATGAGTCGTAAAATTTTTTGTTTAAAATCATACAATATTTTACTATAAATTTTAGTCTCGGTCCCGGTAATTTTTTTCTCGTATTGTCACGCATCTCTAATTCAGGCACAACTTTCGACTATTGCCGAAAGTACATTTTGAAAGTCAGTACGATGAAATTCATGTTTTCAGTTTTTTATTTGAAAATTGAGTTGAATGTTTGATATATTTATTAGAATATTGTAATTGTAATCCAATTGGTTCATTGCGATCGTCATGTGATCCCCAAACAGATTCTTGTTATTGTCGACCAGCTGTTGGTGGACTAAGTTGTTCACATTGTGAAAATGAATATTGGGCTTTTTCTCGTATACTAACACATAATAATACTGGCTGTACTCGTAAATAATCAAAGAAAAGAAAATATATGTTTACTTGAAAAAATATATATTTTAGCTTGTGGTTGTCATCCATATGGTTCAATACGAAAAGATTGTTTACAAGATACTGGGCAATGTTCATGTCATTCATTTGCTATGGGTCGTCAATGTGATATATGTGTTGATTCATCTTTAATATTAACTGATCATGGATGTGTTAATTGTATGTAAAAAAAAAAAATCTTAATAAAAACAATATTTTATTAATGGCTCTTCTTTTAGTACATAAAAATCGTTATCGACGTCAACGAACATGTCGAGATTTAACATGTCTTTTTGATGGAATATGTGAAATATTAAATGGTTATCCTCGTTGTACATGTCATCATATAAGTTGTACAAATGAAGAACAATACTTAATGAATATATGTGCATCAGATGGACGAACTTATCAATCAATATGTGATATTAAACGACAACAATGTTTAAAACAATATGAAATTGTTTTAATGTATCCCGGTGTTTGTAATGGTAAATTAATTTCAAGTTTTTAAATTAATTTACTTTTTTTTTTAAATTTAGGAATTGATGAAGATTTGAAATTCGAACAAGATAATATTTTGAATCGTGAATTACAAATGATAACAATTGATTCAAGTAAGAAGATTTTTGCAATGTTTTTTTTTTGTTTTCATGTATATTAAAATATCTTATTATTTAGAACGATGTATAACAGATAAAGATTGTGGAGAAAATATGGTTTGCTTATCAGAATTTTGCGAATGTGAAAAACAAAAATATAAACGTATACCAGGACCACAATGTGTTATGCGTAAGATGATCGTTTAGAATTATGATTTTAGTTTTGAATAAAAATTATTTCGAAATTATTTTAGCTCCATCAGTTTCCTTACGATCAAATCATACAGGTAGAGTTTTATTTTTTCTGTAGGTTAAAAACAACAAAGCGAGATAAATATTTTTTTTTTTTAATAGTAATTCCTATTCATCATATATCAGATGGTATTTGTATGCAATGGAATCCATGTAAAAATCATGCTATATGTCAAGATCAAACAAATCAAAATTATACATGTTTATGTTCATTCGGATGGAAAGGACATAATTGTGATCAAAGTAAAAATTGATTGTTTTGGTTTTCGTTGAAATCTAATGAACATTTAAAATTTCACGCATATGCTAAAATGAAAGAAAATATTTCGTCAAAGAGAAGCAAATCATAGTAATCTGATCCAACGATCTATTCGGTATTCACTGTAATTGTATATCTTCTGTGTTTTTGATCGAGACGATGTTCATTTGATGAGTAATAGAAACGTCTCGACTGGTTTGATTGAGTTTCAAAATTTCGTGCATTCCTTTTGTCCTCTCACAAATATTGATCCTTAGCAATGACTCTCCCAGTTGCATTAATCTAATTGGACCTTACATGGTTTCTATCGAAATCCAACAAAATAGTGTGAGAATTTCGTTTGAATTTGATTGGATCCTAATGTTAACATGTAGTACTTATTAACAGAGTGTTCATTAGCTGAGTACTATAATAGAATAGAAATGACAAAGCTGAGCTCGAGATTCTAAGCTTATACGTTGGGCTCATCCTTTGAAGTTCTCTGTAAATAACTCACTTCTGACTTTCTTTTTCAAACGACTTTTTGAATAAACTGCGAGTCCTATTTATATATAGATATCAATGCCTACGCAATTTGAAAGCGTGGTTGTCTATATAATCCGCCCACATAGACGTGAATTAGAAAATCGAAAGAGGGTTAAGAAGATCCTAACAAAATCCCATCGGAATCTGACAGTCGACATTTCTACATGTTCCGACAGTTGGATATCATTGGATGCTTATCACGATTCAATCGGATTCTTTCACCTTGGCTTACAAGGCTAGAAAGTTCGATTATACAATTCTTTTGATTAAACTTTCTACACACGTATCTGACCACAATATTTTCATAATCTTAAGATTCTTTTTTTTCGTAAATTTTAGAAATTGAAATAACTATTCCACATTTTAATCAACAATCTTATTTAAAACTCAAATTATCAGAACCAATAAAATATATTGATCTTACGTTTGCAACAGAACATAATGATGGTTTGATTTTATATTGTGACAATAAATTAACAGAATTATACTTTACGATTTCAATACGAAATAAAATTATCGATATAACGTAAGTCTTAGAAAAATTTTATATACAACAAAAGTTTTATTAATCTTGTTTTTTTTGTTTTTGAAGTATTCGTTCTGATCGTTTTATTTCAACAATTCAATTATCTGATATAATTGATCTTAATACATATGTTCGTTTACAAATTCAGATTTTATATAATGAAATACAAGTTCGATTAAATAATGGAAAGCTTTTGTCAAGTACGTAAAGTATAAACTAAATCGACAAAAAAAAATACAACTTCTTTTTTTTAATATTAAAGGATTATTACCATTTAATATTGTGTTGACAAATATATTACACATAGGTGGATTACCAATATCATTTCATTCGTAAGAATAGATAATTATTATTTATAAAATTTAACTAAATTTTATTTAGTCTTTCACAATATTTTGACGTCAATGAAGGTTTTCAAGGATGTATTCATGAATTATTAATTAATGAAAGACAAATTATGTTTAATACTACAGAACATATTGGTCAAAATATTGGTAGGTATTGTGAAACACAATCTAAAAGAAGTATTAACGTATAGAAATAACAATTTAGATTCCCTTTCCCTAACAGACATGTGAGGAGTTTCTCGTCACCAATGTGACAGACGTTTTTAATCTACGATCGCACACCGTATATCACTAACGTCTCTTCATAATAAACGAATTACTTTCTTATTGCATTTCTGCAATAGAACTGTCAGCAAGCCAAACTAGATCGATCGTTGTTTCTGATGTTATGAATACGCTGAATTCTAGAACTCTGCATTAATCTATCATTCTAATTTCAGTTTTTTTACTGAATTCTTGTATGAAATATAAAAACAAATAGAGACAATAGAAAATTTTTTCATATAAAAATAAATTTGCTTTAACAAGGAAGAGATAAAACAAAGTGTACAATAATAATGTAGAGAACAAGGGATACTTATAATAATAGACAATGGCATGTAAATTTGATGTTCAGTTCAAGCTTTTATTGCTAGACTCAAATGAATTTATCAAAGTACTTTCGAATAGTAAAACGATGCGTCTATATTTGATTTCCGAAACATAAGAGCTCTGTTCTGAAAGATTAAAAAGTGGCGAAAAAATATATCTGAACATAAAAACAGCTTCCTATGATTAGTAACAGAAGCTACATTATGCTTCACATTTGGATCTCTTTTAATTGACTTGAAATTTAAAATTATTTATTTATTTATTTATTAGATGAATGTATAGGAAATCCATGCCGATCAGTTTCATCTAGAAATAGAATTCGATGTATACCGATAAGAAATAATGATGTAAATAGTTATAAATATTTCGATAATGATCATTCAATAATCGATCGATGTTTAACAAAACCATGTGAAATAAATCAACAATGTATTAATGTACATCCGAATAATTATATGTGTATATGTGTAAATTGTTCATTAAGTATGAAGAAAGATATTTGAAATTTTTAAAAAAGAAAATATTTATATTTTTCTTTTTATTAGATAATCTATATATTGCTGGATTTCATTCGAATAGTTATATTAAACATTTACCATTTCAATCATTGAAAGATACAGAAAGATTTAAAATTGAACTATGGTTTCTATCTGAAAGTTCATCAGGTAGAAATTCTTTTTTTATGTTATTTAATTTATTAGATAAAGTGTTTTTGTTTTCTTTAGGTTTACTTATTTATAGTGAACATATTAATTTCAAAAAGGGTTATTTTAAACTTAATTTAGAACGAAAAATGCTTATATTTGATATTATTATTGGTAGTAAGCGTATTTTACTCAGGTATTTCATTCAATCGATCTATTTAAAATTTAATCAGTCCAATTAATCAAATTAGAACTCTTTTCTTAAATTCAATAGGATTAGGATAGACATCTTGGTTGAATGAGTGTTGAGTCTTTTTAGATGTCAAAGAAAATTTATGATAGATGAAAACGTTTGAATAGTTTAGATGAATAATTTTAAAGTCTCAAAAATCACTCATATTCTACGAAAGCTGCTAGAATTTTGTTTTTTGAAGTTTTAGTATCTCCGGAAGAATTTATTCTTTTGAACTGAAATTTTCAAGGCATTCTACTGACAAATAGATCTGTTTGACAACAAAATATCATGTCGAACTACCCTCATTCAATTAGATGGTATATACCGCACTACAGGCTAAAACTCTAATAAAAGGCCTAGAACTTTGGGCAGAAGATGTAAAGAGACTTATTGTTTTGAGGTTTTCATCCTTCACTGAACTGTAGCTTATGCATGGAATCCGAATTCAAAAATAATTACTCAGTTGAAAATGTTTTTTTTATAAGTACAACTACGGAACGAGTGTTTCAGAATACTTGCAACTCTATCGCATAAAATTGAGGGATAGAGCTTCTATAATATTTAGTCGAATTGTGTATTCTGAAAAGTGACTTGTTATTTTATTAGTTCTCGATATCCAATTGAATTGAATAAATGGCATCAATGTTTAATTGAAATCTATAGTCAAAAATTATCTTTAATTCTCGATCAAGAATCACCTGTTATATCTTATGAATTAGTTTCTTCGAATATGTTATGGCCTCGTTCATTTACATTTATTGGTTATCTACCTAATCAATATCGATCAATAAATACTTCGATATTCGAAGGATTTCGTGGAGCAATACAAAAAGTATAACAAAACAAAAACATATATATTTTAATTTGTAATTAATCTATATATATATATATTTTTTTTTTACTAATAGATTATTTTAAATAATCATTCATTAAATGATATTCGTCGAAACGCTATTGAATTATTTAATATAACTGAATATCATGGTTATCCTTGTCAACCAAATCCATGTACATTGAATAGAAAATGTTGTCAAATAGAATTAAATAATTATACTTGTATTGAAGAATTAAAACGAAATGATACATCACTTGAACTTGATGGAACAATAAATGCTATGTATTCATATATACCTTCAAATTTACGTCGAAATTATTTTGATTTCTTATTAAAAACAAAACATTCTTGGGGACTTATTTTTTATATTGGTGAAACATCGTTATCATTTTTTTCAAATTATCTATCGTTAATAATTGTTAATGGATTTCTACAATTGGCAATTAAAATTGATAAAAATTCAAGTGTTGCTTTATTAAAATCACAAATACGAATTGATGATGGTCAATGGCATCATATTGAAATAGAACGGTAGATATCATTTATTTTATTCTTAGAAATGTTCATCTTTCAGTCACTACAAATATAAATTATTCTTCAGAGACAACTTCGAATAGTTCGATAGTATTTTTATATTTGACATTAAGTACAGTACTCGTCAGAAAGTTAGCAATGACTTTCAATTCTTCTACTATCTAATTACAAAAGTGAATGTATTTCGTTGTGCTGTCCAAGATAAACCATCAAGGGGGAAAAAGCGGATCCTGGTGGATCCTGGGATCCATTAGGATCCGCCAGGATCCATAGGATCCACCAGGACCCACTAGGATCCATCAGGATCCATTAGGATCCATTAGGATCCATCAGGATCCACCAGAATCCATTAGAACTCATTATCATTTATGAAGATAGATTAATGTTCTGAATAGCCACAAAATCAAGGAAATCAACCAGAT